TGGGGTGGGACCGCGCCGGTCCCTGCGCCTTACCCCGACTCGGGGGCGCCCTGTCGGGGATCGGTCGCCCCTGGGGCTGCCGGGGAAGGAGCGGGGGGCCGCGGGCGCCCTACCTGCAGGACGTTGGCGTGGCGCAGCCGCTGCAGCAGGATCATCTCCTTGACGATCTTGTAGGCGGCCAGACGGTAGCAGTCCCCCAGCGCCGAGAACTGCCGCACGCAGTGGGCGACGTCGTGCCCGCCGAAATCCACCGCCTTCAGCGCCACGGCCAGCGAGCGGTTGAGCACCGCCTTGTACACGGCCTTGGTGTAGCCGGAGCCCAGGTACTGCACGCCGCTCACGTCGCGGATGTCGCGACAGCCCAGCAGCGGCGGCTCCAGCGACAGCTCGCCCGAAGCTCGGCCCCGGGGCTGCCCCGCCGCCGCCGCCCGGCTCCGAGGCGCCCCCGGCCGCGGCTGCTCCGCCGAGGAGCGCGGCGGGGCCAGGTCCATCAGGCGCCGCTCCCGGGGCCGCAGCGCCCGGCGCCCCCCCGCCGCCGCCGCCGCCCCCCGGTGCTGCCGGTAGCGCAGCACCTCCTCGTAGCGCTCCCGGAGCTGCCGAGCCAGGGCAGCGGCGGCAGCGGCCTCCTCCTCCTCCTCCGGGGGCTCCGGGGGGGGGCTCGGCGGGGAAGGGGGCGCCCCGTCGCGGGGCGGCGGCGGCGGGGGGGGGTGCTCGGAGCCGGGGATGAAGAGCACGTTGAGCAGGGTGCCCAGCAGGAAGGCGAGGCAGCAGCCAGCAGCCACCGCGATCTTCCTGCGCCTCATCGCCACCTCGCTGCCGGCTTCTCCAGCCTCTCGGGTCTCTCTCCTTTCGCCCCTTCCCCGCGAACCGGCTCCGGGGTTGTTATTATTATTATTATTATTTTTTCCGCCCCCCCCTCCCCGGTTTTGCCGGGGCGCTCAGCCGGACCTCACCCCCTTACGGCGCTCCCGCATGACACTTGCCTCCCTGCTTTTAAGCCTCCCAAGCACTTATTATTAGCGGGACCGGAGGAGGGCGGGGGGGCGGGGGGGATCCCCGGCTCGCTCCCCCCGCTGACGCTCCCTGATTGACAGCCCGGCCCCTTCCAGCCGCCCGGCCGAGCTGCAGGGGGGCCTGGGAATCGTAGTCCCCCGGAGAAGCCCCGCCGGCCTCCGGCTAGCCCGGGAGCCGGGACTACATCTCCCAGGCTCGGCCGAGCCCCCCGGCGGGGAAGGAGCGGGGCGGGCCGCCGGGGGGAGCGGGGCGGAGCGGGGCGGAGCGGGCGGGTGGCCCCCCCCGACGGGAGCCGCGGCCCCAGCCCCGCTTTTCGGGCTGGTGCTGGGGTCGGGGTTGGAGTTTTGGGGGGCTGCAGGTCCGTCCCACGCGTGGCGTGGCGCCGAGCATCGCGCCCCGCCGTGGCTGCGCGGGGCCCCCCCGCACCAGGGGCTGCGCGTTTCCCATCTCTTCCCCCCCTAAAATAAAGGGGCCGCGGCTCCCTCCCGGCACACGGCCGGGGCTGCAGCTACAAATCACGGCCTCGCCGGGGGGTAGCCCCTGCCCCGCTGGAAATGTGAATTGCAGGGCTGAGCGCTAATGACACGGTTATCCATCAAGCCCACATTACGATGCTGTTAGCAACTAATTAACAAATACAATCAGCCCGAGAAACTTCCACAAAGGCAAGTCCATCAGCAAGAGAAAAGCCGTAAAAGAGTCAGGCGAGGCAAAGTTCGCCACAATGGGAGCGGGAAATCATTTCCAAGAAGGGAAAGGAGCGGGCCATTTAGGTAATACACATCGGGGGGACACACACGCAATCCAAAAAAAAAAAAAAAAAAAAAAGAAAGAAAAAAAAAAGACAAAAATCGGCCCTGAGGCTCAGACTCCGCTCCGCTGCGCGTTGTTCCGCGGCCGCTGCGCGCCGCCCCTGGCCTCGCTCCGCCCGTCGGGGCGGTGCCACCTGCAGTCCCCGGGGGGCCGCCGGCCGGGCTATCGTTATTTTTTTTTTTTTTTTTTTTTCCCGTTTCTCTAATGGTTTCTGCTCTTACCTAACGGGAGCAGCGCTTTGCCGCTCAGCCGTGCCGGGCTGGCTTCTTCGCAGCTTTCCGCAGCCCTGCGGTTAGTGGGATTTCACGGGTGCAGAGGGGGACGGGTGAATATTATTTTTTTTTGCCAAGTAAGCCGCTTCGTAACAACGTGAAGCGCGTTTGCAGAGGAGCTGGGCCACCTGCAGCCCTCCCGGTGTTGATCGGGACCCCCCCCAATACGCCCGCAGGCGGCGGGAGGCTCGGGTTGCCTCGCCGCGGCCTCGGAGATGCTGCGGACCTCCACGGTGCGGAGGTCGCCCGGCCTCTCCGGGGATGCTAGCGGGCTCCCCCGGGGCCACCGGGCACTCCCAGGGCCACCGGGCTCCTCCGAGCACCCCGAGGCCACCGGGCGACAGCATCCAGCCGGCCACCGGCGTCCTCCCCGTCGAGGTCAGCTTGGGGAGAGGGGAGGCTCGGCCGTCCTCCCGCACCCCCGGGTGGCTTGGGGTTGAGCCCCCCCGTCCTGCTCTGCCCGCGGGACGGAAGTAGAGGGTTTGTCGGCTCCTTGAGGAGGTTTTTAAGGAGACTTCCCCTGCCCTCGGCTTCTCCCGGCAGCGCGGAGGCTGCGCGCCCGCCGGCCGTGCTTGCGCGGGTTACGGCAGCAAAAGCCGACTGCAAAACAGCTGCCCCCGGCGCACATTAAAGCGGGCCACCTGTTTTCCACATCATGCCTCATCTCAAAGCCGGTTTTCTTCATTATATCGCTCCCGACAGATACCATGAAATACATCGCTCATTTAGATATGGGAGCCGACCTCTGGAGGACGACTTGCGCCGAGCGCTTTGATGTCGGGAGCCGGATTTCAAAAGACAGAAAAAAGCCGCTTCCATGGTTCTAATTACCCCGTGCCCGGGCCTGCCGCTGATTAGGGCGGCACGGCTCGGCACGGCCCGGTTACAACGCGCCGCCCGAAAAATAGCCCGGCAAGCAGCCCCCATCGGCCCGGCGGGAGCCGGCTGCTCGGAGCAGGGCGGGCAGGAGGTGTGGGAGCGGGTGCCCCCTGCTCCTGCCCCCAGGCTTTTGCAGGATGCTGCCCTAAAAGCGTTTCAGGGCTCGGCACCACTCGGGCGCACGTCTTATCTGGGCAGCGGGATTGGGAAAGCTGAGTCACTACGGAGGGGTGAGGCCGAAGGGGGTTTTTATTCAGTGTGCAACAGGCTGTGCTTGATTTGGTCCTCACAGCCCCTATTTCTATCGATATTCCTAAAGCAGAGTGATCAAACGCGGAGAAATTAAAACCATGCTACCATGCTAAATAAGATTAAGGTCGTGGCAATATATTGACTGCTCCCAGAGGAAATCACTCTGCTGCTGCAGCATCCAGAGCCCTCCCAGAGGCCAAGCTTGTGCTTCAGGATGGTCAAGAGCCCGTATAGAAACCCTGCAGGGGGTCACCTTTAGTGCCTGTGCTCTTGTCCCCCTGGGCTCCCAGCCTGGCTGGCTGATGGAGGCCATGAACTTGGCTAGGCAAAGCCCAGCCATTCTTGTTTTTAGGCCCCCAAGCTGGTATTTGCAAGTGGATCCCTCTGTTCATCTCAAGAGATCATAGAACCATACAATATCCCGAGTTGGAAGGAACCCACAAGGATCATTGAGTCCAACTCCTGGCACCACACAGGTCAAGCCAAAAATTCAGACCATGTGACTAAGTGCACAGTCCAAACACTTCTTAAACTCTGACAGATGCTGACTCCAGGCCCAAAAAATAGGAGTGCCACATTTTCAAGCATGGGTAGCTTCGGGATCTCAGTTAAAAACCACGGCTGGATACATATTTGTGGGAGCTGGGATATGTCAGAGCTTCTGCTGGGGAAGTTTGTTCTTCCTGAAGTGCTACACAGTCACACTGCTCCCCTTCAATGCTTCAGAGTTAATTTTGTTTTTTGAAAGGACTTCATAAACTTTTGAATTCCTGGTCATCTGTTCTGGCTGTTTACCTGGAAGTGAAGCTTTTTTTTGGAAAGCCCAGCCTCCGTCATGAGGCCTGAAGTCCCTCAAAAACACAAGTCCATGTCCTCATGCCTATTCAGTGAGGGCCCCTCCATGTCCAAACTCTCCGTCATTCCCTGCTCTGCCAGGGTCTTGTCAGCCTTCAGCTCAGGGTGGAAAGCCTCCTTTTCCTCAGGGATACAGGGCCAGAGGCATGCCCTTGCACATATATATTCTGTAGTCTTTAGTAAGTGTTCTTACATGGCAAAATCTTTATAACGCTCTTTACTTTAAAAAAGATCTCCCTCTCTCTCTCTTTTTAAATGTGTTCCTTCTTTTCCTCTCAGGAAACCCACTCCCTTGTATACTTGAAGCAAGCTGAGATGAAGCCAATTGTATTAGTTCTGGCTGGAACAAAAATGCATAATGAAACATTGAATGTGTGGTGTGAGTCCAAAATAAATGGTCACTAGCAGAGCCAGCAAAAACCTGCAAGCACAGAGTGTCTGAGAAAAGGAAAAGCTTGGATTCTACCTGCGGTTCTCTACAGTTTTTCCAAAGGGAAAAATGAGCTCTGGCTTTAGAGAGCTTGGGAAGAGATGCTGGGGCATCGTGCCTTTTTTGATTGCATTTATCAATGGTGATGATTGTTGCTTTTTTTTTTATTATTTTTTATTTTTTTTATGTGTGTGAATACAGTATCTGTAAGTGGGTAAAGGTGTTTTATCTCTTATCCTGTATTCTCAAAGTGCAGCAGCTTGGTTTTTATGTGCCAGATGTCAGTGTGCCCTGATTCTTCACCAGGCAGTCAGGATTAAAGCTGCCCTGTATCAGAGAGGTGTTACGAGGATAACTCCATTAATGCGTGTGGAAATCTGGTACTGCAGCAATAAAAGCCCTGTAAATATTTACACAGACAGAGCAAGCTCATGGAAATTTTACATTATTAGCTTAACTTCATTACAAGAAAGTAGTTTAGAAAGTCACTCGTATATGACATGCACTTTTATTTTTAATTAAACATTGACAACATATTCGGTGCTGTTTCAAGCCACAGGATTCAGAGAGCTGCTTGCTGTTCTAAATATTTTACAATCTGTGGGGAAATATCAAGTCTCAAGCAAAAGAAAGAAGTAACATAGCTGCCTTAAGAATAAATCTTCCCAGCCAGACCTTTTACACTTCTAAGAGTTAATAAAATAGTAGGTAAAGGACAACCAGAGGATATAATTTATTTGGACATTCAAAAGCCTTTTGATAAACACCCATACAAGAAACTGTTAAGGAAACTTGGTAACCACAAAGTGAGAGGTAAAGTCCTGTCATGGTGTAAAAAAAAATGGTTATAAATGGGTATGGAATAAATGGCCAATTCTAGTAGGGAAAGAGATTAATAATGAGGTGCCCCAGAGATCAGGACTCAGAACAATATTTTTTAATGCTGCATTAATAACCTGGGGGTGAACAGTGGAGTGGCAAAAGTTGATGTCAATAGAAAAGCAGTTAGCTTAGGTCAGGAGCAACATCAGAAGAGTTTAATAAAATCACAGGACCATGTGCAGAAGTATGAAGGCAGCTTGGAAAGTACCTTCAGAACTTACAGCAGCACTACCACTCCTCGCGGTACACTGGCACCGTCCCCTGTACGGATGTACAGGGTGAGGGTAGGTAAGCTGGGGATGGGCAGGTGTTCACAAGTCTCAAAGTCTGCTTTTTCACTCCTCTCAGTGGCTGCCCAGCTCCCATAGTTTGTAACGCCAGAGGAACATCTGAGCTCCTGTATGGCAAGCCCCTCTACCAGTCTGTGAATGATGTCCCTGTGAGCTTCTCCAGCAACTGTTTAACAAAGGTCGTGTGAGTTCCCATGGCTGATTCTTCTCTGAGGACATGCCAAAGGCTCTAGGTCACCTCTCACTGGCATTTTAAGAATTACTTGTTTGGTCCGATGAGAGTGGCACGGCAGCAAGCTTCAAGTCCGCTAGGTCTACAGACATCAGCTCCTGGCTGCTGCCTGGCAGTGAGGAAAACGAAACCCAGCAGCACAGCTGGGGTGCAGCTATCTGTGTGCAAACAGCAGTCCCAACCTCTAGAGCTACACAGGGTAAATGCACAGGCAGCTGTCTGAATTTAGAGCTCCTGAGCTTTCGGGTGGGTTGTTTACTATGTGGCTTTTTCTTCCCACTGGTTTTGCTCTTGCGGTGTGGCTGCGCCGTGTTACCCCTCGTTGTTGTGAACTGCAGCATCCCAGCCTAGCAAAGGCCTGAAGTCTCACTGCAAGCTGTTTGTTTCAAGTCTGGTGCACAGACAGATGTACTTACCAGCAGTCTGGACAACATTTGATGGTATCTTTGTGTATCCTCATTGCTGCCAGTCCTCTCTTCCAACTGCTCTGTCTTCTCTGCAGTGCTGCCCAGACGCAGCGCCGGCTCTGATGGCTTTTGAAGGCAATGACATTCATGGAAACTCAGACTGCTGTTCTTCACAGGGCTTTATTATTGTTTTGTTTTTAACCAGTGGGTCATTTCCAAGGATACTATTCTGGAAAAGAAAGCAACTCATAAAGAAAGATTTTTAAAAATCCTCTTGATATGACTTGTAAAGTATTTTGAAGTACCAGCCACAAAATAAATTGTTTTTAAATCCCCTCTTTCAGCTGATGATTTACATTACATTGGAACCGCCCCACACCCCATCATCTGGACCCCACTGTAGTTGGTGGGGTGTAAATGCAGCTCACCAGGGGCTCTGCTCCCAAAGGGAACTAAAAGACATAGCACCCCAGGGGAGAAGCAGAAAGTCCATATGCCAGTGAGAAGAGCCTTGTCTATGACCCTGCAGCACCCAGAAGGCAACCCAGGGCCCCTTGCTCTCAGTTCTTGTCCCTGCCAGTGAATCCCACCCTCTTATCTTGTTCAATCCAAGTTCTACATAGCTTGAGTGCACTCTTGGGTTTCTTACTTTTACTTCTTTTACTTTTTTTTTTTTTAATAATCTAAAATAAGCAAATAATAATAATAATAATAAAAACATACATGTAATATCCATTCAGCCTAATTAACAATAACCCCCAAGTTCAATGCAGAGGAATGGGCTCAATGTGTGAGTAGGCTTTGTTTATGGAGCTTTTTGAACTGGCACCAGCTGAGGACCTGCTCAGAAGTGAAGGAACAGCTTCAATAGCCCTGGGGCTTACGACCCAGCATGTGTGACCAGTGATGCTGCCAAGGATGAGGTAGGAAAGGAGCTATGTGCCAGGGTTGTGTGTTATATTTGTTGCCAGTCCTGGGTCATATTTCTCTCTGACCACAGTTCACTGCGTTGAGTTATTATGGGAAACAAGATGTTCAGGCCACAGTGTGATAAGTACGATGCTACACGAGCAGTAATGCAAGCGTGAAGGTCACTGAATATTTTGGGATTGCTGGTTTAAAATTGGTGTATTTTACCATTTGCACCATCAATTTTCTCCATAAGTAAGATCCAAAGAGAAGCTTTGAGAACTTGTTTGGAGGAATCCAAATACTTCAGAGTCTGGGGCAACTCGTTGTTCTGGGTATGCTGCAGCCTACCCTGAGGCAGAGCCCTGGTGTTTCCCTGGAAGTGGCTGCCCTCTGCCTGCCTCGCTGCCCTGGTGCAGTGGGAGGAACTGCTGCCTCGGCTCTGCTTTTGTTGCTGACCTCCCCGGGCTCCTGGCTGGCCCAGCTGATACCTCTCCTTCACACAGTCTTTGAAACCCTTTCTCGCCCAGCTCCTCCACTGCAGCCTGCCAGGAGGTACAGGGTGCCCCTGCCATGCCCATCCCGCAGTTCACCACTGCCAGCCATCAGGGGCACCGCCAGCCACCGCTGCTGCTCCCTCCTCCTGCCAGCTGAGAAAATGGGAACCATTTTCAACCCCAGTCTCATCCTCTGGGCTTTGAGGACCACGGTGGCCTGAGCCACTTCCAGCAGGGCAGTGCTGATTCATTTCCTCCTGACCCCCAGGACAATTATCAAAAGCTGGCATTTTGTTAATCCAGGCATAATTAATCACCACCAGTGTTTTGATTTTAATTACTCTGTTTCCATAGTCTTTAAGAGCTTTAGGATCTGTGAGTTTTTATATGTGGTTTTAGAAGATACCAATGCTGATATTTTGCCAGGCCATAAAATCCTTTGCAGCAGCAGTAGTTTTTTAGAGGGCCTAAAGTGTTTTGGATTAAAATCAGGACAAAAATGCAAGGGCCAGACTGAAGAGGTACAGAAGGAGGTTGTCTGACTCTCACTTGTTTCAGCAACACAGAGCAATAGGAAGGATTAGGAGTCGAGTATTTTGTGCAGAGAAAATGATTTCTTGCAATCTACCAGTTTGCAAAAACACGGCAAAAAAAAAAAGAAAGAAGACCTGAATCTGTAATTTCTTCCTTTGCCTTTGCTATCAACCGATCCCCAAGGATGTTGGAAGGACAATCATAGTAGATTTTGTCAGAGATTTGAGTGTCATTACATGGTACTTTCTATGAGAATACCTGAAACCGCATCCAGGAAAGATGTCAGGTCATTTCACAGCCTCTCATTTGAATAAACAAGATGTTTGAATTGTTTCTCAGAGTCACTAAAAAAAAAAAAAAAAAAAAAAAGGCATGTGAAAATGTCATAGAATTTCCTCTTTTCCTTTCCCACCCAAATACAAAATCAAATAAAAGCAAACACATGGGACACAAATATAGGAGCAGCCTCCTCTGCACATATTCTCTGTGATTCTCAAGCTGTTTCCAGATGTACGGATTACAACTCAACCAACTGCTGCTTCAAGATCAGCCTTAGGATATTGATAGAATGCCTCACCAAGTCAGAAACTGCTGTGAAAACTGATGTGCTTGGAGGTCAGGCTTCCACCTTCTGCTGTGATGCTTCTGGCTGCACCCATTTGGTGACCTGTTGCCATCTCTTCACTCCAGATAGATGATTTTCCGGCCTCCTGAAGTATGGATTTAAAGTCCCTGGAATGTAATGACACATTAACAATTAAATATGCGATTTTTTCTTTCAGTTTTCAGTCTGAATATTTTTAAACCAATGGTTGCTCTAGCGTAGGAAATGTATAACCCTGACAGTAAGAGCAATGAAGGATACTCATGATAGAAAAAAATACAGCATCAACTACAAAATGTGTAAAAAACAACTGCCAGCTAAAGGCAGAGTGCTTAAAAACACTTCAGGGTTTACACACAAAAACAGGTCAGGATTTTTACAGATCATGTAGATGCACATCTCTCATAACTATTTTTGCTAATTGGACATTTCTGTGTGCAACTGGATGCTGGATGAGACTTTTCAGACATAAATACTCAGGTAGTAATACTGAGTACATATGCACTACAGCATCACTGTGCTTGTACAGGGCTCCTGCCCTAGGCTGTAGTTGTTCTTACTGACTTAACACAGTACTTAATATTTCTGGATTATGCTTCAGTGCTGGTCCCATATTTTTGAGTGATACTGATCTGAACAAGACTAGAATGAGGTTCTTAGGTCTGTACAAGAGGAACTTCGGCATTGCAACATCCAACTGCACAGTGTACCATCACTTGCAGGGTTTGCATCTTCATGTCATGCACCAGAAGAGGCCGGGTATCCTAGGAACAAGAATTGCTTACAAAATGAGCTCAGGACAACCATTAGGCTGAGAAAAGAACTGCTTAAGGTCATCAGTGAGAACAGAGAGCAATATAGAGTTAGGTGCCCTGTTTACAGTTAAAAAGAGATGTCTCGGCACTTGGGATTCAGACCCTGAAACACTCCTAGGCAGGAGGATCCTGTGAAAAATCAGAGACCAAGGCTCTGGACTGTGACCTTGTCATGTAACTTGGTGGCTAGGATTGTAACCTGTGATGCAGGAGACCTAGATCCTTCTGCTGCCTGACCAGTCTGTCCCTCATCCCTCTCCTCTTGCTGCAGTACTCTGCATGAGAATAACTACTCACATATGGGATTCCCTCCATCATGCCTACTCAGATTAGGCCCTATATTAATAATTATTACATAAACTATTTTGTACTGCAGTGTTTTTTTATCAACCACTGCATAAGAGAATTTGGAATTGGTCCCTGGTTCAAAAAAATGTTGAGCAGAAGAGAAGACAGAGACATGCAGCACATGCATTTCCAGCAGCTATGGCACATCCAAGTCTAAGAACACAAAAGGTGGATTTGAAAGACAGTTTGCTGATGTCGGCTTTGGGAAACTAAGTGCACTGACTCACGGACACAGGGGCAACACAGAGCTCCGTGTGAGGCCAGCTGAGCCCCAAGGATAGTTGCAGAGACCGGCCCTCCCCACGATGCAGGGAGGCAGCTGGATGACGGAGCAAGAGCGCAATGCTGGGTGCTCCCACCTGCACGGGTTCTGCACGCATCCTGAGGAACGGGAGCACCCTGCAGCAGCTTTGTCTGGCAGAGGCTGACATGCCACAGGGCTTAGACACCTCTAGGTTAAGGTTCAAAACGATACCTGAGGATTTTTCAGGCTCTAAAGACCATTAAACAGCTGAATTTGGGGAACTAGTGCTTCTAGAGGGGGGTTAATGACTACATCCCTCTATGGAGGTTTTTTTGTCAGAGCATTTTGCAGATGCCTTGTGGGTGTATCCTCAGTCAAATGCAAACTTTGCAGGGTGTTTTTATGGCAGTCTTTCTCTAAATCATAATAACTACCAGCCAATAAAGTCAACAGTGTTGTTTTGCAAGTAGAAAAGCTGTCTACTTGTTTAACAAAACACTTCATCTTTCCTTCATAAAATATTCCTTGATAATTTGTTTCTATCTGTTCTGAGATTATTTTTTTAATGCTGTTATTAGGGGAAAATAACTTAAAAATGCTTTAGTCCTCAAATCTAGGTCAAGGTCTGGAGCCACATTTGAATCTAGCACAGTCATGTTGATCTCAACTGTTTTTCCAGAAACGCTGAGCATTTTGTATTCTTTGAGCACCCCAATGGGCTGAAAATATTCCTGAGAGATTGGTAGGCTCTCAGCTACTGCTCCAATTCACAGAAATTAAACCTTCCATCATCTGGTTTTTATATTTGGAAAATGTCAGCTATACTTCCTATCACGTATATTGTTGCTCCAATGCACTGAGCCTTCTGTGAATTTCAAAACACATAACTCAGCTCTCAAGCATTTCTTTTGTAAATATTGATAATGGTTTCAAGTTCTTTATTAAATAACTTTTTAATGAGTTTGAGGACAAAGAACTATTTTTTCACAGTCTCATGAAGATAAGAATCATAACATATCTTTCTGTACCATGGAACACATGGTTCTCAATACCTCATTGTGCAGCATAGGTTTTCCTCACTTTTAAAAAGCTTACTTTAACTAAAAAAAAAAAAAAAAAAAAAAAAAAAAAAAAAAGCCCAGAATTATAAGAAATAAAATCTGACCAATCTGACCAGGTCATTCTAAAATGTCTGAAATCACATGCAAATTCAAATTTTATGTGACAGCTTTGCAGGTCAGTGTGTGCTGCCATTTGGAGCAGCATTGGAAGGTTCCCTTTACTCTTTTAATTCACCAGCAAGAACTACAAAATGCCACAGTCACTCCTGATGTGGTTCAGTGCATCAACCTCTCCTTACTGAGCAATATTTATTGCCTGCATTTTCACCAGAAAGGATCCCTGTGCATACAGACAGGATCGAAGACAGTAAAATATTATGGTGAGGTTCAGCAGGGGAAGTTTCCAGGGAGAGGTTTTTTATCAGTTTACAGGCATGGCCAAAGTACTGCAAGGGAGTTCCTCTTCGGAACAGGCTGTAAACAATTTACATTGGGTAGGTAATAGGAAGTCTTCAGAGTGCCTTGAAAAATATTAACTTATAGGAGTTCTGACCTCTGTCTTCTAGACCTGGCCCAGAGGACTGATGTTTACTAGTAAGCATTCAGCTCTCTAGGAAACTGCATGCTGTCAGGGAAAGTAAAGTTATTATTTTAATACATTTCAATTAAAAGTTGGACTACGCAGAGGTATCCTAAATCAAATATGCTGTACAACTAATTTTCTTTCTAAAAAAAAATGTTTACCTTTGAACTTAAAAACGTTGCCTTCGGGCATATAATATTCCAGCCAGCTGTAGTTTAAATGCATGGTGCGGGTTCCATAGCTTGCTTCTTCATTCAACACTCAAAACCATTCATGTTTCCTAAGCAGAATTAAAAGCCGGCTAGGAACAGATTACCAGTCCCCTGATATTAGCCATTCTTCTCACACATTCCCTTGAAGACTTTCAGGTCTAATAATAACATTTTCCTGTGCTGGTCCTATTGACAGCTTGAAACCTTAATGATGATCCATTTGAAATGTAAAATACTTGGTCTTGTTTGTACATTTATTCAAGGGAATTTGTATTGAATTATATTACTGTGACCACAAAGATAGACGAGGAGACAAACAAGGAATCTTAGGTGATTTTAGAGGGTGTCTTAGGCCTGGCCACAGCTGGAGATGTTGCCAAAGTTACACTTTCCTAGAAGGCTGAGAGATGTCTCAGTCTTTCCATTCTCCTTAGTTTCCACCTGGGGAATTCTTGTTCAAATGAAGTACAAATGGCATGCATTGGCACTGTTGATCGTGTGTGTTTGTTTCTGCAGTTGGGATGCTACCAAAGCCACAGGACATCTCTATTATCAAACGTGTAACCCAAAGATAAGGGTTGGAAAGGAGCTGTTGTTTACTGGCTAGCAGGTTCTTATTTGCATCTATTATTTTAATAATGCTGAGGCTTGTCTGCAGTATTTAGGATGTGTTTGGGTACTGCATGCATTCCACAGGTATCTTTTCAGCCATTTCCAGTTAAGGAGTATATATTACTGGTTTGTGAATTAGAAGAACCATTCCAACTTCCATCTTTGTCATGGTGCCAACACTTGGGAAATGACCTCGTCCTAAGAGCTGAGCACCTGCAACTCTTGTTAAGATCCTCTTAAATTCACCCATTGCTTTTCAGAATCCTAAATGGGCCTCTTACAATCTACCTGCTTCAAATTCCCTGATGATTTATTGGCTCAGAACACAGATTACTTGTCTTGGTATCGGGGATTTCCTTTCTTTTTAACAGGAACATAAAAACACAAAGAAAGCCTAAACTCAAGTAATGTGAAAATGTGTTTGATTCCAACCCATACATCCAAAGTTACAGCTAAATGTCTGACTTTAACTTGAAATGTGATGCCTTAACTCTGCATATGATCTTACGACACATAAAATGTTTGGAAGCCTTTGAAAAAATTGAGATATTCTTGGCTTTGGTTCATTCTTATTATGCTTTAATACATTTATATATTGCTCAATAGATCTTTACATTTATCAAGATTTGGCAGCAATTTTCTGGACTTCTGAAATCTGTGTCATTACTGATTGCAATGGTCATGCACTGTCAGAAGTCTGTTGTGGCACTTTGCAGATGCTGGGTCTTTACATGAGAGGATCCCACACAAAATAAATAAATTAATATATAAATAAATAAAAATGCTATAGTCCAAAAGCTTTATCCAAATCTTCCTGAAACCCTTCTGTTCTGTTTTGGTGACATGCAGTACTGAAATTTATTTTAGTGACACTGAGCTGTTCTTGGTGAGCAGTAAAGTACAGACACCTGCAAGTTTGCACTGGCCTGAAGTTGTCCTACTTTTGCCCTTTTAAATTCAGACAAAGCAATAAAATTTAATGTACACGTGCATTTACTAAATTAAAATTAATGGTTTAATTTCCAGACTTATTACTGACCATGAGCTTAAATGAAATTAGTTCTCCTAGAAGAAGTCTAAGTACCTGTAGAAGCGAATACTGTTTTTTAGACACAGTAAAAATGTAACAGAGAACAATGAAAATTTTCTGCTCAACGTGCTCAATTGCCTTAGTGATCTCAGGCTTTTTTACTAGATCCTGTCCAGAAACAGTCTCTAAGCTACATTCAACTGGCACAAGCTTGAACTGAAAG